GAATTCATGGCTCTGATGGGCCTTGGGGAAAATCTGCTGGTCATTTCCTCATTGTTCTCAAAACCTGCAGCTGCTGTGTAACTTCACAGAAGCACAGAACCGTGGAATGGTTTTGGTTGGAAGGGACCTTCAGGATCTTCCATTTCCAACCTCCAGTTCCACCCGCTTCCTCCTGCTGTGCTCTGCAGCCCCCTCAAACCACCTCGCCCACTGCTGCTGCCCCAACAGCTCAGCGCTGTTCCTGTCACTCAGGTAATTACAGAAGGGCTGTCATGGCAGAGGCACCTCCATGCTGGCAGCAGGATAATGATGGAGCCTCCACCGCGAGGCTTCTGAGCGCAGAGCAAAGGCAGTGGCCTCGTTGCTCGGATCCAAGCTTGATCCAAGCATCCAGCTGATCAAAGGCAGTGAGCCCAGCACAGCTGCTGTCAGCAAGGAGCTGTAATGAGGATTTTCACATGGACAGCCTCTGCACAGAGAATCCTGGGGATGGATGCCAGCCTGCTCACCTGTGCAAATAAACAGGGGTAAATTAGAGCTAGGGAGGCAGGAGAGCAAGGGCCATGGGGAGAGAAGGCTCAAAGCAGTGGGAAATAGAGGGAAGGGCACATTTCTAGGCACACTTGCTGACTGGAGGCATGGAGGGCTGTGTGTGCCTTGGGGACCACGCAGGCCCCTGCCCTGTGTAGCCCTGGGTCTGCTGTCACACGCAGAATTGCCCACAGGAACCTTCTCATGCCCCATCTGCCTGAGCAGGGCTGGGACCCCACTGTGCCCTGTGGCAAGTGGTGATAGGAGTCCTGATGCAGCTCTGGGGGTCCCAGGGTCCCCTCAACACCCACCTTCTTTCTTTCTGGCTGGTGTCTACTTTTAAAACTCCTGGGAGTGCTCAGCTCCTCGCATCCTGCACTGACCCAGTTCTTGCTCGTTGCCATGGAGAACTGGACCTGATTCCATTAATGGTCCCTGTGTTGCTCCTGACCAGCTCTGGGGCAGGGAGGAGGCTGTGGTGAGGCTGGATGAGGTGTTCCCAGGAGAGGGGCCAGGTGGGATTTGCAAGTCCCAGTGGAGAGTTAAGAGTTCCTGACTGCCTGTCTCAGGTGTGTCAGGATGGTTCCTGCAGCTCAGGACACATTCCTGCCACTCAGGATGGTTCCTGCAGCTCAGGATGGGTTCATGAGGTTCCCCTAGCAACCATTTTTAGTCTGAGACACAAACACTGATGCCCTCACCACCTTGCTCCCTGCATGCCTTAAAATCCACAAATTCTTCAGTAAAGCCTTCTATTTTCATTCCAGGTGTTGTCCATCATAGCCAGACCAAGAATATTCCTACAAGATATTAAACGATCCTTTGATGTGTCTAATGATCAGGAACAGTCAGTTTTAAGGGCTGGTGCTTCAGATGAGTATTTAAAATCTCAATTAAAGTTCTATTAAGGATTAATTCAGGCCAGCTCACTCCATAACTCGTTTGCCCTGCATGGGCTGTGAGCAGCTCAGGGTGTAATTTTCTGTTCTGTCATTTTATTAAACTGTTGGGTTTTTTTTTTCAACCTGGAGTGAAATCACCAGTTAAAGGAATTTTCATTCCTGGATGGAGGAGCTGCAGTGTGTATTCCCAGCAAGGATTACCCCATCCCAGTGCAAGCCATTGCTGCTGCAGACAGGGACAGCTGAGGCATTTTTTGATGTCTCTTGCTATATAAACCCAGTAATTTCTCCTGTCTCTTCACCTTGCAGCTCCCCAGAGAAGGGGCGAAGCCCTAGGGCTCCCAGGCAGTGGATTTTAAAGCTTTAACAATTTCCTTTTATTTCCTATTTCCTGAAATCCAAAGGAAATGAAAAATAAAAAGCCAACACGAAAACCTCAGCCCCCCCAAACCTTTCATTAGCCCTCCCCAAGCCATGCCACATGCTGTTTTTTCCCCTTTCCTGTCTGACTTGAGGAATCCATTTCTGGTTTGATTTGTGGCATCTGTGACACTGAAGCCTCTCATGTTTAAAGCACATTCCTGGAAAGCAGCGGCAAAGCTCATTCCATCATCTCAGTACAGCCTTTCCCTTTCCATGAAGCAACCTGCCACATCAGTGATGGTTTAAAATTGGCTTTCACAACAAGAGATGCTGTTTCCTAGAAACCTGAGGTTGATAGTGGAAGGCACCAGATAAAGCAGTAAGAGAGAGGGTAAACCTCCTTCCCAGGCTCCTGCCTGCACCAGCTGCTTCAGGAAAATAGGTGACCAGGGATTACATCCTTTCAACAGAGTAAAGCTTCCCCTGGTTTCCAGGGACTTCGACAGAGACCTGGGCAAGTCCCAGCGTTCGTGAGGGCTGCAGTAGCTGGTTGTGCCTGGCACTGGCTGGAGGGGAGAGTGGGAGAAGGGGGAATCCAGTGGTGGTGATGGCTCCCAGGGGGTTTTGGGCATGGCCAGAGGACATGGAGGTAACACTGCCACGTTTCTGCCCCTGCACCAACCCAGTACAGGCAGTGCCTTTGCCACCTGCTCTCCACTTGCCCAGTATCCCCAGTCATGTCTGCACCCTCAGGCGGCACCGAGTGCTGTCCCAGTGCCCGGTGCTCCTCATCCCATTGGATGTTTTGGGCTGTGGTTTGTTCTGGAGATGGGTTTCAGGGCCGGGATAACGAAGCTCAGCTATGGGAAGACTGGAGGAAAACGCACCCCTCCCTCCCACGACTCATTTCCCCATTTAACCTGGACAATGAAGCAATCTCCGAAGTGACAGTGTGGAGCTTCCCCTCATTCCACTGAGGCAGAGGGATGAGGGATGGGAGGGTGTGATTCCCACCACCCCTGGGACCCTGCTTTGCCAAGGTGTGCCTTTCCCAGCAACTCCCAGCCCCGGCAGCTCTCCAGGCACTGGGCTAACATCCATCCTGGTGATTCACAGCAACACCCACTCGCAGCCTGAGCCACCGAGGCCGGAATCCTGCTAGCAGCATGAGGGGAGCAGTCAGGCACATCCACGCACAGAGAATCCCTGTCCTTCTGCCACCACAGGGCCCTGTTGTGAGAGCTGGGGTGAGCGAAAGGGGATGTAGGATTTGGAAGCCCAAGGATGGGCCTGAGAGAGGGCAATCCCTGTGTCCTCCTTGCTGGCTGCCAGTCTCTGTGCATGGCAAGGGCTCTGCAGAGGGCAAGGATGTCATGGCTGGTGCTCAACCCCACCACCAGCTCAGCCCCAAACTGCTGGGAAGGGCAGGTCAGGCTCCATCCCCGCCCTCCCACAGCTCCGAGTCACTGTGGGGGTGAGTGGGACCTGGGCTCCAGCTGGACCTCACTGGCACTCGAAGATGTCCAGGCCATCCAGGGCTGGGGAAAGGCAGGCTGAGGCACTTGGTGCCCTGACAAATTGGACAGTGTGACATCCTCCAAGGGCTGGCAGCAGGGTGAAAAATATTTCTGTGTATGGATGTTTTTGGATGGATGTTTTATCAGCCTGTGTTCCCAGCCACCCCGCAGGTTCTTCAGGCTGGGCTGAGCCCAGCACGAGGAAAGCTGCTGTTGGATGGTACCATATACCCCCTCTGCTCCTGTGGATGCATGGCCACATGTATGTTTTGGTAAGTTTGGAGAACACCCTGACGGCTAAAGAGAAGATCCCAGGGCTGTCCCCATCTCATGACCTCCCCACACACAGACATACCCAGTAACATATATATATTATATTATATTTTATATATATATATATATATATATACACACATTAACAAAGAAGTTGCCAAAAAAAACCCTCAAAACAAACAACCCAACAAAAAGGGGAAAAAACCCAACAGAAATAACAACCCTCCCCCCAGTTAAAACCGAAGCAGGAATGTTACATGTGGAAGGGGAGGCTGAGGGGAGCCAGGAGCTCACACATCCCAAATCTGTACAACTGTGCCACCAGGAGCAGAGGAGCTGGCAGCAGCACCCCGGACCACCCCCATGTCCTGCCCCTGAACCACGTCCTGAGCAGGGCTCTGGGATGGGGCTGCTGCTCCCCAACTCCCGCTGACACTCAGATAGGCTCTGCTTCCAGCACCAGGAGAGGACAATGTGGGTGACTGGGAAAGGCCCCCAGCCCTGGAGCTGCCTGTTTGGGGTGCAGGGCTCCTCCAGCTCCCCCCGCCGTCCTCCCGCCTGGCCGGGTCTGAGACGCCTGTGGGGGGTCCCTGTAATTAGTGCAATTTCATCAGGTGCAAACGTCACGTTAAGGGCTCGTGGCCTCCGAGCTGCAGATGTGCCGAGTCCTCCATGAGCCCATCCCAGTGGTGCCAGTGCCAGCAGGGAGCTCGACTGCCAGCGCCAACATCCATCTCCAGTGCTTGGCATCCGTCTGAGAGTGACACAGCATGAGCAGCCCCAGATGGGACCAGAACATGGGGAAGGGACATCCATGAGAGTTTCCCACGAAAAATATCCGACTGAAAAGGGGGACAACCTCCCAGAACGAACCAGGGTTGTGTGCTGGGCTGTGGGGACAGCAGATGCACTCCCACTGCAACCCCACTCGTGCCCTGGAGCTGGGAGAAGCAAACGGACCTGCTCCGTCTGCTCAGCAGGGAGGGATGTATCCCCCGTGCTGGCCCTGCCAGGCACCGTTGGGAAGCAGCCTGGATCAGAGAGAAACCCCTCTTGGATCAGCAGGGCAGGAGACAGATCCTTCCCAAAGGTGCCACCTGCCTCCCTTTTCCAAAAACTGCAGCCTGGAGACACGGAGGGATGCCATGCTGCTCTCTAACCTCTCACTCCCCAATTTATACACACAACCAGGGTTGCCCTGCCCCAGGTGCAGAATCCAGCACTTGCCCATGTTGAACTTCATACGGTTGGTGATTGCCCATCTCTCTGATTTGTCGAGGTGTCTCCGCCCTCGAGGGAGTCAACAGCTCCTCCCAATTTAGTGTCATCAGCAAAGTTACTTAGTATCGCTTTGAGTCCTGCATCCAAGCTGTTAATTAAGATGTTGAAGAGAACTGGGCTGAGGATGGAGCTGCCAGTAACCAGAGCATGGAGCCCCTGGAGCTCCAGTCCATTGCCACAGAGTAAACAGGATGTCTCTGTGCTCCCATCACCACTGAATCAGGGAAGAGTTTGGGCTGGAAGGGACCTTTAAAATTCACCCAGTCCAATCCCCTGGCATGGTGGAGAACAAACCAGGAGCCACGATCTGGGGTCATAAATTGAGATTTGGGTCATAAAACATAGAAATATTCTTCAGGCAGGACTCTGCTGTGGGCCCAGAGCAGGAAGACGAGTGTTTTTCTGCTGGGACACCAGACAGGGCACTAACAGAGCAGGGCACCACCGTCCACACCCGCATTGGGAAGGAGCAGCTGCCAAACCTCCGTGCCAGGGGCCGAAGCTCCTCGGGGATGCAGGCCTCCCTGGCTACTGGGGAGCTCCCAAAGGAGGAGACGTGGTGAGGTGGGGATCTGTGGCTCTCCACTGTGGGACTGCAAACCCTAAAAATGCTTCAGGAACGTGCCAGCTGCAGCATGGACAAGCAGTGGGACCATCCTCAGTGCTGCCTCTGCTCTCAGAGACCATTTGCCACATAATCACCCTCACCCACCACATAACCAGCATCCACCACATAACCACCATTCATCCACCACGCCAGCGCTCACCAAGCCCAAGGGCTCCATGCATTATTCACCCCACCAGGGAAGCTACTGAGCCTCAGCCACAGGGAAAGATCTCCCTGGAAAGCGCTGCTCAGTGGCTGCAGTTCCCCAGACCGGCTGCCAGTGGGCTCCAGAACCCATCCCTTCTGTCCCAACCTGTGCCTCATGGGACACATGAGCTGTCCCCTGACCACCACAGCACCTCAGGTCACCTCACCCCAGCCTTTCCAGCCCCCGAAGGAAGACAGGTGACAATCCACTTGGGGAGGGACGGGAGCCACTGCCAAGGTGCTGCTCCAGCTGCTCTCACGCACACCGGAGCTCACCACCAGCAGTTTATTTCCAGCTGCGGTTCGAGGTTCTTCCACTTTTCCCTTAAAACAAGACGGAGCTGGTTGTGGATGGCGCTCGATTGCTGGGGTGGCACTGTGGCTCTCTGGCACGGCTGCCAGTGGGCTCCCAGCAGGCAGCTCCGACCACCAGCACCCACCAGCACAGCCAGAGCTGCCACGGGGCGCGGGCAGGCCTGGGCAGCCTAGTGACAGGCTTTCATTCCTGACACGTACGGGGACTCCTGGGGCCGGCAGTTACACTCCTGCTGCTCGGGGTAATCAATGAAATCCGGGGCAGGCAGCCCCGAGAGGATCATCAGGGATTTGTTCCAGATGGTGAAGGTGGGACACACCGGCAGGATGAAGGAGACTTCGAAGGTGTGGAGGTGGAGGGAGTTGGCCGGGTCGTAGAAGGAGAGCGCGTTGTTGTCATAGTCCAGGAGGACGCCGAGCCGCTTCATCTGCGGGTGCACCTCCACCAGCATCTCCTTGTTGTTGTGCCTCACCACAAAGTTGTTGTTGCAGCGGGAGAAAACCCAGGAAGAGGAGTTCTTCCCGATCCACTCATTTTTGGGGGCCGACTTGTAAGCCACGCCGATGGCGTACCTGCAGGAGAGGAGAAGCTTCGCTCAGCACCCTCCAGCCCCCAGTACAGGAACGAGCCCAGCTCTGATGGCTGTGGCACCCTGTGCTTCCAGAGCCCACCTGTCTGTGGAAGCAGCACTCTGTGCTTCCAGAGCCCACCTGTCTGTGGAAGTGGCACAGCAACAGCTTCACGTGCCCAAAAAGCATATGGCAGAGGCTGGACTGGGAAAGCAACTCCCTCCCAGAGGTGGTGCTTACCAGGTGGAGGATCCCACCACGACCTCCCAGTAGTGGCAGCCGCTGTCGATGAAGATGTTGCCGGCTGCCCCATAGCAGCCCGTTCCACTGAACCTCTCCGGCGTGTGGCTCTTCTTCAAGGAGCTCTCATCCTTCTCCATCTGCAGCCCATCATTGGAGATCTTCAGCTTCTTGTGAGCCATCTTGGGGTCCAGCTTGAATGGCTGACCTGTGGGGAGGGGACACAGGGATTAGGATTTGTGTTGCTAGCATCACTGTGCAGGGAGAACATGGCAGCAAAGGTCTGTCATGGGTTCTCTGGCCATCCTCCATGAGCCACAGGTTCCCCCACCAGCTGAGAACTCTGGATTACAGATACCCAGTAGGGACAAACGCAGCACCTTCACTCACCTTCCCAGGCCAAACAGAGGCAAAGGAGGTGAAACTTGAAAATGCAAGAGAAATGAGCTGCAGAGAGTGAGCTTTCTGCTCCTGGGAGAGGATTCGGACTGGAGAGCAGCTAGGATGGGTAGCATTTTTAGGAAGGGCTACACTGTCCTGGCAGGGATCCCCAAATGAGGGGCTGGGGATGTCCAGAGTCTCCTTATTGGGCATTACCCCCTCCCAATGTTTATTCCCCGTTCAAGTAGTTTTCCTTTGTCCTCCACTAATGATATAAAATGTGCCAGAAACAAGGGTGTCCCCTGGTAACGGGAATGGCACTGAAGATGCCATCAGGATGGATGCAACTGCGAGCCAAACCCGGGCAGGGCGTGCAGCCTGAATTCCTGAATGGATCTGCACACTATTACCAGTAAGAGGAGTGATATAAGCACAGGAAAGGGACAGACCAGTAAGTGCTGGGCTAAGTGCAGCCCCGTGGCACTGAGCCTGCCCCTGAATCCCATCAGCTGTTGGCACAGACTGCTCCTCACAGCGCTCAGGCTGCAGTTACGTGTTACAGGGCACATAGCCGGGGTCTTCTCTGCTATGTGTCTGTACTTCTCTGCTGCCAAACACAATCTCACTGCTTGGAGAGGACAGTCCAGGGTGTGGAAGCACATCCAAGGCATTGCATCCAGCCCATGTCCAGGAGAGCCGGATGGGAGGTGAGAGCACCGGGCCAGCAGTGAGTGCACTGCCCGGGCTTCCTCCACAATTAACAGAACTGAGGCTGATGGATTCTGCAGGTCCCTGATGCTGGCTTGAAACCCAGCTGCATCTCCTCTGTAACACTACCAGCACACAAAGCCAAACTGCTTCCCAAAGGACACGTGCTGGCTGTGCTGCTTGCAGGGTTAACCCCGTGCAGCCCCACGAGCACCTGCCCTCCCTCATGCCAATAAGCGCCATCGCTCTGGGCACCAGCTCCCCCACACATTCCACCATCAGGGTTTCTCCACAGGCTCCAGGTTTTGGCGCCATGCAGCCTTGCTGGGGCACAGGTGGGGGTCAGGAAAACACTTGTGTACACAGACATCCTCGGCATGGAGGGTCGGGGGGTTGGTGACTATTTCCATAGAGATTCACCTTCTTCAGGACAAAGTAAATGGCAGCTGCAGAAAACACCCCAAATCCTGCATGTTTTGTTACCTGAGGGGTCCCTGACCTGGCTCTGGGAAGGAAGAGCTGTTTCCTCCTGCATGCTCCCACTTTTCACAATGGACATCAAGTCCCAGCGAGGAGAGACACCCACACCACTCACAACGGGGGGCCCTGATCCAGGTCTGGGAACCCCTGCAAACAGCTGGGCAAGGCTGGGGACCCCTGGAACAGCCAGGAACCCCTGCAAACAGACAGGCAAGGAGAACCGCAGCTGTGAACCCCTGCAAACAGCTGCAGCATCAGTAACAACGAGGCTGGAGAGCTCTCAAGTGCAACTGCAGAACGAAGCTCCTCCGTGCCGTGCTCCGATACCTGATGGTAGCTCGTGTTGGTTTTCCTTGGAGTCCAATTTGCTGGATAATTGAGTTGAGAGGCCTGAAAGTAAAGCTGTAAATTGGGATTGACCTGCCCCCTCCTTCCTCTGGCTGCTCTGATCTTTCTGCCGTATCTTTTCCTGGCAGTAATGCAAGGAGACAAGCTCTGAGGAAGTGAGGTATAAAAATACTTGGCTCTGTCAGGAGAGAGACACTCACAGCCCTGTTTCCGAAGGCGGCCCCTCGTTAAGGTCAGTGTGAAGAACTGGAGCCCAGCCCTTGTCACTGGTTTGTGCTGCCATGTCCTGGACTGGGCGCTCGAGCCGCATCCACAGGCAGTGTCTGCGATGGGCTGGGATAGGTCAGAGGATGCTTCAGAGGACACGGACTGCTCCCATCAACCCCCTTCCCAAAATATCTCCCTGGCACTGGGAAACCATAGGCTTCACAGAGTTGTGATGATCCCAGCCTCAAATCCCCAGCATGGGAGCTGCCAAAGGCAGGGGAACTCCCACTACACAAGAGGGCAGAGCTGCCCTCGCTCCCTGCCCAATGCCACCCTCACTGTCCCCTGTGCCCCAGGTCGCTGCACCCCTCCAGCCCCACAACCCTGCCTGGCAGAGAGCTGGGGATTGAGATGATTTGTCTCATGATTAATGGGTGTGTCCTGGGCTGGTCACTCAGATAACCTTTATCCCATAAATTCAGCTTGCTGGGATATTCCTGATAGCCTTATTCTGGTCATCCCTGCACGGGGCTTGGGAGCTGTGGGGAAACAGCTGGCTTCAGGGCTGGACACAGCTGGGTACAGTGGCAGTGTCCCTGCTCCCACCAGCCATTCAGGATGCCACCTGTGGGGCACAGGACACCCCACAGAGCGAGCCTGTCAGCACCATCCCATCCTCCCTGCAGACATCAGCTCCAGGAAACAAAGCTGCAGCACTGTACTGCTGAGTCATCAAGTCAGAGGAAAGACATAAATCTATCCAAATCTATGAATCTTCCCACACATTCCCTGTGGGCAGCTTCTGTACGGATCATCCTGCTCCTTAAAAATATCTGTACTAACACAATCCAGTCTCTAACAGGGACTCCAGAGCCCACTGCTCAGGCATCAGACCCACTCCTGACATCTAGGATGAGATGTGGATGGAGCCATCCTGTACCACACTGAAGTCTTGCTAACAGATGCAGAAATCAGAAAAAGGGAGAACTGCAAGGGAGAGTAAGATCAGGCTGCACTGGTCAAGGCGAAGACTGTAAAACCCACCTTCCCTGCACTTTATTTATTGCCAGAGCCGGGCCTGTCCCTGCATTCTGGCACTTTTATCCACTTTTGGACACTTGCTCCTAAATATGTCCTGCTCAGGTCCAGCCTCAGCAGAGGAAGGTCCCCCTGCCATTAAACCAAACCTGTTCTCCCAAGCTCTTCTGCTCGGGAACACAGATTTTGCGCCAGCACTGACAGCGCCGACGCTGTGGAAATCAATGTGTCCTGACACTGACCTTCTGGCAACGGAGGGATCTCTCCAGACATCACTTCTGGAACAGAACAGGCTGTGAAATATGCTAATGGGCCGCCTCTGTGTTGAGCTGCTGACTTTTCCACCAAGGTTACAGCAGTGGGAAAGCGTGGGTGTGATGTCGTCTGGATGTTGTGCACAGGAAAAGGAGAAACCCCGGTCCCAAATACAGGCAGGGGGAATGACCAGTGGGGGCACGCTGGGGATGCAGCACGAGGTGGTGGCACCATCAGACACCGTAGAAGAGCCCTTGTTCCCTCAAGCTGGCCACAGGAGAAATTACATTGATTTATATTATACCTATATACATGGCTAAATCAAACCTTCAGGAATTCAGAAGTTTCCACAAACACAGATGACAAAGGAATGCCAAACTGGTGGCGAGGAGGGATGTGTGCCCATCAGTGCCACATGCCTCTCCTGTCCAGAGTGGGAAGAGAAGGATCAGTCCTCGTGGAAGGGGCTTTGGCACACACAAACCCACACTCACACATAACCTGTGCAGCGCCTCAGGTGAGGCTGCTCAAGGTTTTGAACAGGCGGGAAGATGCTGCAGACAGATCCTTGTAACAAGGGGAGCTCAAAACCAGATGAGGCTCTTATCAAACTGAGTCTGTCTCTGAGCAGAAGCCCTCCATGCTGTGCTGGCAGCTCTGGTGACTGACACTCAGTTAAAATCCCAGAGAGCAACTCCCATCCACTGGGAGCTGCCGCCACGGCCAACTGCCCTCGCTCCTGGTTTCCCAAGCCGCCTATTCCTCGTTCCCAGAGCGAGCGCCTTTCAAAGCTGGGGAAGCGCTGAAAAACAGCAGCCACAGGAGGGATAAATTTTTAATAAACAGGCGGATTGGATTGGATTGGAGCTTGCTCCTCAGCAGCTCCCTCAGCCCCACTGCCTCGATGTCGTTTTATTCAGTTTAACGTCGTGCAAAGAAAAGGAGGAGGTGTAGGTGACAAATCATCACAAAAGCCTCGTCCAGGTAGAAGCCATTGCTGGGGGAAGGGACAAATGGGAAAAGGGAAAGGCTGTGCTCACCAGGGCTGTGCAGAGATATGGGAGCACCACAGAGATGTGGGCACAGATCAGGCAGTGAGCAGGAGCCTGAAGAGCCAACTTATTCCCTCCTCCCCCACCACACATTGTCCCTCCTGTGGCCTCCCCCCAGGCTATGGGTGCCAGTGGGAAAAGGTTTTCCACAGCAAACTCAGGAGCTCTGTCTGTGCCAGAACCACTGGCCTCTGAGTTTGGCTTTCCCTAAACACATTTAACCCTCCTTGGCATCCTTGGGGCATTGGAAAGTGCAACTTCTGCTTTGTGTATGGCTGCAAAGTCCCATCCACCACCATGGAGACACTTTTCAGTGCCCTCAAGTCTATCTAAAATCACAACCCTTTGCGAGCTCAGCCACACGCAAGACTGCAATTGCTCTGGGACTCTCTGCATTAGCCCCAAAAAGACCAGGGATGTAAAGCCACCAGAATTATGGACCTTTGTGGCCTCTTAAGGCCCCAGGGATGGGTGCTGACAGGAGCACAGGGTACCACACGGGGCAGCAGGAGACCATCCCCGAGGCAGGCAAGGAGCAGAGGCACCCAGGGAGACGGGCACTTCAACAATTTAAACACCCCGGTATGGCGCTCAGCCATACCCCTGGAACCCCAACACCCACGAAACTCCCCCCTCCCCACCTGCCACAGCCAGGTGAGTGCCCGGGCACCTACTGTTGGTCTTGAGGCGGGCGGGCTCGCTGTTCCGGCTGCCCGCCTGGTTGATGGCCTTCACCAGGAAGATGTAGCGGGTGCCACTCTGCAGCCCGTGCACCGTGTAGTGGTTCTGCTTGATGTTCGGGACGATCATCCAGCTGTCCATGGAGTTGTAGAGACCTGCAGTGCGGGAGAGGCGGGGAGAGATTTAATGCCAGGGAAGGGCAGAATACAAAGCCCCCCGTGCTGCTAAGGCAGAGCTCACGACCGCGCGGTCCCCCGGGAGGATTTACCGCCTGCCTGGGAGTTCAGAGTGCCTGCAGGGAAATTTCCAGAGATGATGAATCCCAGCAACTCAGAATCTCTTTTATTATCACATAAAGGCAGTGTTGGTGAGGCAGAGCCAGGGCTGTCGTGCTGGCATCTTGGGATGCTGCTGTGGGAAGTGATGGGGAAAAGGTGCAGAGAAAGGAAATTTCAGCCAGTGGCACCTTCCAGCCAGGGCAGATGGCAGAGGTGGCTGCTGGTGCCAAGGAGGGGGTGATGCTCACGATTATCTATCATCCTATCCTCACCCCACTATCATCCTCTCTTATGTTTCTGCTCCCACAGGACAGCCTCTCTCATGGTCCTGGTCCACAATATGCAATTCCAGAAGTAGAAAGGGATGTATTTGCGCTCAAATAAACGTGTTTGCACCTGAATCCTGCTCGTGCCTGGTGCTCAGTGCTCCAGGGCGGGAAGTAATAATCCATGGCCAAGGGATGCTGATGCTTCAGTTCCCTGGGCAGACTAATCTGCAGAGCAGTTCAAAGAAAATGAGCTCTCAGTGAAGGGATCCAGATGCTTGGAAATCATTCAGGAGCCTGAACTTTTTCTGGAAATGGGAGGGAATGAAAAATCCGAGACTGTGGAGGTGCCAAGCCCGACTGCTGCAGCAGTTTGCAGTGTTGGAGCTCCAGGGCCTGGCATGTATGGAAATGGAGTGTTGTACCTCAGGTGGGGTGACACAGTGCTCCAGGAAAGGGGAAAAGCCCTACAGAGTGCCACTGAGGCTGTTCCTGCCACCAGCACGGCTGGCATAAGGATCACCAGCAGCCAGCATGACCACCTGAGTAGCCAGGGCTGGGGGACAGGGATCCTGCAGGGGCTCAGGGGAACTGGAGGGCTGGGGCAGTGAGAGCCCAGGACCCACCACAGCAGCAGTGCTAAGCTTCCTGGACACAGCTCTGGGGCAGCTATTGCAGCACAGGGCCAGGGCTTTGAATGAAAAGAGGAATAAGGAGGAGGCTTGGAAGCAGTAGCTGGAGGCTCACTGGAACTGGTGAGAGGTGAGGAGTGGGTTGTGAATTCAGGGTGACTGGAGGGGGGGTTTCAGCATGTGCAGGGCTGGGAGGCAGGAGCTGGGAACACTCCACACCTCCTCTGCAATGACTTCCATGGGGTGTTCATTTATCTCCAGTGGCTGGCTCAGCCACAGGACAAGGGCAGGTTGCAGTCCCTGTCAGCCTGGATTTGGTTTAGAACACACATGGGAATGGCCGAGGGGCACAGAGCAGTGTGATGTGAAGTAGAAAATAAAACAGATGTGATCCTGATTGCAGCCTACACACAGAGCTACTCCCGTCAGAGGACACAGCTTCCAGCCTGGCACTGGTCGCTGTCACCTCCCTGCAGGAAGGACCAGCTGGGGATCCTCCATAAGGAAGAACAAAGTCGCTGAGAGATGACAGCGGGAAGGATTCAGCCTCCCAAGCAGGCTTATTTCCCAAAACAACCACAAAGAGCTTGGCCTTGAAGACTGAGGGCTCCTACCCTCGCCAAAGCATAAAAAAATCCTTTTTATTGCAGCATTCGTCATCCATAAAAACGTCCGGCTCTTGCTGAGCTCTTGGCTTTGATGGGAGCGTGAAGGGGATGGGTTCCACAGGCCAACTGTGTGCTCCTTGGAAAGGTATTTCCTCTCCTGGTCAGCCTCCCGGACTCCTGCTCGGTGTTCCAGTGTCTCTTCATGCACGAGTTCAGCCAGGGCTCACACGCTCCCATCACCCAGACCCAGCTGGGCTTTTCCAAGGGACAGTACGTTATTCATTTTCCCCTTGGAGATTTATCTGATGTTTTCTTCGCTCTTCTAGCAAGAGCAACCCAAGCTGGCTAAGAAGGACACTCCTGACATGTGCCCCTCAGGGTTCTCTTCCAGCCCTGCCCTTGCTTCTCCTCTCCCTGCAGTCGCCACAGCTCCCCCGTCCCAGTGCCTGAGCCAGACCCCCAGAGGTGGGCAGGTGACTCATTCTCAAGTCCCTTGATGGATGGGAGTCCAAGCCATGTGTCCAAAGTAGCATTTGGGGAGAGGTGGGAGCCAGCTCCTTCCCCAGTATGGTCCCAGGGCAAGGGCACAAGCTGCAGTGGGGGAAATCCCGGTTGGAGAAGGGCAAAATCCATCTAGCTGAGGGTGGGGAAGCACTGGGTGTTCCATCCCTAGACAGTTCTTGCTCCTCAAGGACCAAGCCCTGAGCACCCTGTCAGCCCAGCTTGTGCAGAGCTGACTCGGGGACCTTCAGGTGTCCCTCCCCACTGAAACCACTCAATGACACCAGCACTGTCCCTGTCTTGTCCTCGTCTGGAAGTGCAGTGGACATGGGGCTGGCGGTCATCCAAAAGCACAGCCAGAGAGGTGGCTGAGCTCTCCAGGCTTCCAGAGAAGGAAAAAGTGCTGGAGATAACACCCTGTAGCTGGGAAGAAAGGGAGAGTCGAGCAGGGCAGATCTGGCTGCGGCAGCACCATTACCCTACAGCTTCTGACTGAGAGGAAACGCATCATCTTGTTTCCCAAAACAAGGGCAAAGGCTGGGCTGGGGCTGGGGAGGTGAGATACAGCTTGGAAAGCCACAAAGAACTTTCTCTGGCAGCTTCCTGCACATTCCAGAGTGCACTGAGCAGCCTTCCGGAGCCATGACATCGTGCTCCCAGCACCAGCGTCCTCCCAGCCAGTGGGACAGACTGGTGGCGGCCCAAAATGCCTGAGGCACCTTGTCAGCACTTCCCCCAGCGGCAAGGGCTGCTAGGGAAAACCAGGAGTAACACTTTCTCACAATCCACGGCACATCAGCGAGATCCCTCCTTGGTCCTCAAATCCCATTCCTGTCAGGCAAATTTGTGGCGGTGTGGAAAAACAATTAGGTATGGCAGCGATTTGCACGAGAAATGACCTGGAGACATGCCTCAGTGTTGTTACAGAGGGTTTATAAGGCATGTTAATTATCAGCCAGCACTGCCTTGCCCATACGATCCCAGATGTACGGACCTGGGAGCTGTGAGATGGATGAGACCTTCCAATGTTCCCTGTGCTTCAATGAGCCAGGGCTAAGGGGCTCTGCAGGGCAGAGCAGTTCAGGGATGGACCCCCAGCATGGGGAGGTCTCCATTACTCTGATAGCAGCCCTTGGTGGATTCTTTGCTGCTGTTTCCTCCACGAATTCCCAGTCTTTAAACCACTGGGAACCTTTTCCTTACGGAATCACAGAATGGTCTAGGCTGGGAGAGACCTTAAAGATCATCTTGTTCCAACCCCCTGCCATGGGTGGGGAAGGGAAGGGACACCTTCCACTAGCCCAGGTTGCTCCAATCGCCCTCCAACCTGGCCTTGGACACTTCCAGGGATGGGGCAGCCGCAGCTTCCCTGGCAACCCGGGATTCCTTCCCGAAGTGAACCGCAGCCCCTGCAGCGCGTGGTGACTTACTGATGAAGTTGGCCTGGCCGGTGAAGATGGTGTATTGGAGCTCGTAGGAGCTGACGCTGAACTCGTCCTCCGAGATCCAGTGCACGGTGATGGTGTCGTGCGAGGCCGTGCAGAGCTCCTCGCGGATCGACGGCGGGTTCGGTGCTGCAGGACGGCACAGACCACAGATTTCAGTCAGTTTGGGCTTTCCTTTCTTAAAAACCCAGGGCTTTTCTGCTCCCAGAAGGGTAGAGACGGGCTCGCGGTGGGAGCAGAGTCTCTGGGCACCAAGAAATCTCTCGTTTTATCTGTCAGTGTGTTTCAAACTAAATCAAACTTTTTAGTTTAACAAAGCACCCAGGGGTTTTGCTGCTCCATCAGGTCTGACACTCCCACTCTGAAATAGGCTGAGAACCCACTTCCAAATCCACTTATTTCCCAGCACTGGCTGTGGAATAAGTATTTTATCCCATAACTGATCCGGACACATGTTTGTGTTAATCTTTCAGTGAAAGCTGATCTGCTTTGTGATAATAAAATCGGATTTGGGTGAGTGAGGATGTCCTTGCCTCCCTGGAGCTTTCATCCCCCCCAGTGCTCCAGCAGAGGCCAGTCCAGCAGCTGTTGCTGCTCTCAGACCCCCAAGGGCAGTGTTCAGTCTGTGCTGCAGCACTGTGGGGCCCACCAAGGTCCTGCCCATCAGGGTTCCTAATTTAGGACCAAGACACCCGTGAAAAGGGAAATGTTAAAGCACACAGCGCATTAGAAGTATAATAATTGGTTAATTCACTGTTCCCTCCCTGTAATCTTTATGGATCCTGAAGTAATCCTTATCCCTCTCGCATCCTTATGGGCATCAGACTCCTCCCCAGGTCACAGAGACCGTAATTTTTGAGCTTTCTGGACTTTTCTATGGATCCTCCAGGAGCAGTAGAGTGAAATGGAAGGATGGGGACCTGTCACTGTCTCGGGAACAGCACGGCCCCTGCTCTGCCACAGCTGACCTGGCCCTTGTTACTGGTTAAGTCTTAAAATACATCCACCAGCCCTTAGTGGGGCATAGGGGAAGGCACTAAGGGGAAGATGGGGGGCACAGGGGCAGGGGCTGAAGGGAAGACACGGGGTTGCGGGGAGGACACAGGGTGCAGCGGAGGGCAATGTGCCTGTGCACTCACCCGTTAGATAATCCAGCCCCTCCAGCAGCTTCTTCTCTCTGGAAAAATCTAAAGCAAAGTTTTCAAAGGCATCATTAAAATTGATATCTGGTATCAGAACTTGTGAGGATGCAGTTGCCATGGCGACCCTGGAAGGAAAGAAGGGACCGTCAGTATGCGCCAGGGTGCACGTGTTTCCCGAAGTCTTGGGGGGGCACAGGGGTGCAGGCAGCCTTGCTGTGATGTTCCTGCTGTCAGGAAACCAGCTTGCACCTAAAAATCACTGCCCAGAGGGGGCGGCCTAGCCTGGGGACATGTCCCCTTGGAGGTCCCAGCTTTGACTGGCCCCCGGGCTCCCTGTGGATTGGCATTCCCACCACTTTCCCACCCCGGTATCCCACAATGTTTTTAGGACCAGCCATGCAACCTGTCCTGTGAGGGATGGGAACCTGACCTCGGGATTTCTTTGAGGGCAGCGTGGTGGGAGGTTGCAGGGGAAACTGGGAATGTCTGGAGAAGGAACCTGGGGGGACAAAGCCATCTCTGGGCAGGATCCTGAGGCCAGGGGACAACTCCAGCATCAGTGTGCTGAGCCCAGCCCACCTCTCAGCCACGTTCCTGGCGGTCTGCAGGAACCGTGCGTGGTCGTTCTCCTTCAGGATGTGCTCGGCCTGGTTGATGAGGACCGTGGAGCGCTCAAGGCACTGCCGGCAGTTGGCAACCTGCTGAGCCAGCTTCCGCAGCTTCATCACCTGCCGGAGGGAGCAGAGGGAGCTCAGCAGCTGGAAAAGCACAGAGGGAGCCCCATCCTGAGCCAGGGCCTGCTCACGGGGGCAAGAAGCATTGAAATGGCACGGGAGTGTCCCAGTGGCTCCAAGGAGCTGTCTTTCAAGCTTTTTCAACTCTCCTGTGCTTTTAGTTGGGGCTCCTGGTAAAGCTGCTTCCCCTTCCAACCTGGAAATTGCTCCTCAGGTGTTGGAAGCAAGGGGGTACCCTGCCCAGCTCTGCCATGGACAGCACGGGGAGGGTACAGAGGTATCTGCAATGCTGCACACCTGCACTTTTCCACACCCAGCCTCTTTTCACTGGCACAGATTCTTATTCCAGTTCCCAGGTAACTTTGGCAGCCAAACCCAGTATGGTCAGTCCCTACACCCACCTCCCACTGGTGCAGTGCTGGGTTGGCAGCTCTTCAGTGCGGCTTCTGTGGAGGGTTTGGGCACTAATCCGTGCCACTCACCCCTGCCCAGGTGCCAACTGTAGGAAAACAACACTTTGGAGCCTCCAGCTCCTCCCAAGCACGGCTTGAACTGGACAGCACAGCCTGGAGCCATCAGGGAAGAGAGTGGGAAGTGCCAGCAGACAGACAGATGGACCGGCAGACGGCACCGTTACATAAAATATGTTCCCTGGAGTGCCTGGGGTAGAAGCAGGATTTCAGAGCTCCCACTGAAGCCAGGGTGTCCCACAGACACGCCAGTGGCTCTCCTGAGTACGCCTGCAGCAGAACCTGCTCCCAAACTATACCTGGGAAACATCTGTACTTGGGGTTTGGCTGTGGGCACTGCAGTGGGACCCCAGTGCATGCCCAAACTCAGTGAGAACAACAAAGGGCTCATGGAAACTCCCATGGGCAGCCCTCCAGCCTCTCCCTGTCAAACGTGGGGAGCACAGGGATTGCTGTGGCTGGAGAAGGGGACACACGGAGGTAGGGCCGCACTTATTTGGGAAAAACATCCTTGTTCTGGCTCCTGGAGACAAGCACAACGCAGCACAGCAGGAGTGAGGTGGAGAAGTGGACATGACCTGTAGGGGAGATCAAGACCACCAAAGACCCCTGAAGCCTCTGTTTCCAGAAAGGTCTGGAAAAATGGACTACACATGAGAAGTGACTGGCACAGAAAGGGAGAAACTTCTCTCCAGGGTGAGGAAAACTTACCTATAAAAAAGTCCCCACACAAAGCCCAGGCAGTGCCCCAGGACCTTGGACACCCTGTTGCTGGAACCAGGACTGGTGATCTCTCTTTCTTCCTCTCTCTCCCTCTTTAATCAATCTCCCTCTCTGTCTTCCTGTTCACCCTACCCCTTTATCCAAAACTCAGCACTGTGCGCTTATACTAGGAGATGACAGACTCATTTTTATCAATTTCCATGCCAAGTAAATTACTTGTAATTTACTAACAAAACTCTGTAAGCTTTTGCCAACCCTCTGACTCCTGCCATTCCTTTCGACCACGAGCATCTATGAATCTTGAGAGTTGCCTTCTCTTTTGGGGTGGGACATCACACAAAGAAACCACTGCAAAACACCTGGAACCGCTGGATGAAGGCTCCAAACACCCCTACAAAGAAAAGGATGAGAAGCAGCTCCCCCCTCGGCTGTGCTGCAATGCAGACTGTGCAGCCTGTGCTCTCTTTGCAGCGCTGGCTCCAGTCCTTCAGTATTAATTCCATATTATTCTATTAGGACCATGGTAGTTAAAAGCCCTGAGGAAGCTGTCTAGAGTGATCCAAGCCTCTGCACCCACTTGTCACGCTAACCCACACACCCTTCCTCCTCCAGCCACATCCAGCACATGCCTTGTCCTTGGCAGAGGAGCCGTGGGGCTGCAGCTGTGAGGGACACACAGATTTGGGGTGGCAGGGAGGGCAGCAGTAGCGAGAGACATCCGGATTTTGGACAGCAAGGAGATGAACCCGTGTGCACTGATGGGTGCCCAAAGCAAATCCTTCATGGCTGCAGCCCCTCTGCCCGTGGCTGGGATGTCCCAGCACCACCAGCTGCTCAAGTGCTGTGCCCAGAGAGGAAGGGAGACTCCACAGGGCAGGTGGGGACCTCTGGACCAGGGACACATGAGCCAGCCCCCCTCACCTTTGTCTCCTTGATCTTGACAGCGATGACCTGCTTGCGCTGGCGGATGATCTCCATCAGCTCATCACACTCCTCCATCAGCTTGGCCTCGTGCATGGCTGTGTTCACCTGGCCAGGAACAGCGACACGTGGGGTGTTAGGAGGGACACACAACATAGAGGTGTTGGGGGGGACATACAACACACCCTCATGGTTGTGTTCACTGTGGTGCACACATGGAGTGCGGGGGGATGTAGGCAGAGCTTCCAGTCCTCTGCCTGCAGGGAATACCAGTATCCCTGGGGTGGTGGACAGGACAAGACAAGACAGGACGGAGGGGATGCACTTCATGGAAGAGGAATTGAGCCCTAACAATTAAAGCACACTAAAGGACAGAAATCAGTTTTCCTCCTTTCATACTCCTAAATCCCTGTGAAGCACAGAGCAGTCCAAAGGCAGCCCTGAGTGAACCACGTTTTTGCTACAGGATCTTTTTTTAAACCTGGCCAGCAGATTATGCAACACTGGAGTGGGAGACAGCTGATGGTCTGCAAAGAGAGCTCCACAGAGGAAAAACAGCGTAAAATCTTCCCAATCTGCTGCACGTAGCAGGAGAGGGGGGGGGAATCAGCTCCAGGGTTTGGAGCCTGCAGCGAGCTGCTGTGGCAGTGCTGCTGTGCAGCCTGGCTGTGGAGAGCTGGCAGCACCCAGGTGCCTCGAGGCTGTGTGCCCATAGGGATGGCTGTCACCCCAACTTCCCACTCCCACTCTCATTCAGTTTCTGGTTCACATGAAGGTAAGGGAAGATGTGCACGTCGAAGAGAGGGAAGGAGACGATGAGCTAAAGCATAGGAGGGGAGGCTGGAGCACCTCAGCTTGGTCTTAGGTCCATCCCCCTCACTAGCAGCTGCCCAACAGTGGTCCCAGGGCTCAGGTCTGGAGCACTCCCCTTCCAGGATGGCTACAGGACAACATAAATGTGTACCCATCCATAACAAAAATCTGAAAACCTGCCCAGGGCAAGAAATCTGCTCTCAGCCATGCTCATGCTCTGGGAGGCTGAAGGTAGGTGAAGTCACAGAGGCCACTCAGTCCCTTTCCCAGTTGCCTTCTGCCCAAAGAGGGGCATTTTCAGAGCTGGAGTCCTCCCAAAGGGACAGCAGAGCACAGTGGGGGTACTGCAAACCAGCACTGCTCTGCTGGCAAATCCCTGGCTCAAACACATCTGGACACTGGCCAAACCATTCTGTAGGGATGAATCAGTTCCCAGGTAAATGCTGGACTTGGGGTGAAGACTTGGCAAGTGCCATGGGAATAGGAACACTGGGCATGGGGGTGTAAGAAAGGAGAGAAAAAAATACTTCATTATTCTCAACCCTGAGGGGGAATGTGCTAGGGACAACATAGCCCTGGAATAAACTCAGCCCTGGAAAGAGCTCATCCTGCAGCTCGTGGGGATGAGGAATAGCATCTCAGCCCACAGTATGATTCAGGCACAGGCAAACCTCCTCCTTCACACCTTGGCAGCTCGGGGGATGGAGCAGAGAACTCCATCCCCCCTCCAAAACGCTCGAGAGTTATTAGGCTGTGTAGCAGCCGTGCTCTGTAGACACCACGAGCTCACACTGAGGTCAGCCCTGCGGCTGCCGTGGCAAAGAGGCCACCACCCCATGGTGCACGTGCAGCATCTCCTGCTGCCCCCACAACATTAGGGTGGTACCACCTCTATTTTACAAACTCAGCTTCTCCACAGGATTGTTACCTGCTCTCCTTGGTCCACATTTCCACCACTGCCACGGGATTTGGCCCTTCCACCCTCTCTCAGTGCAGCCCCCCAGGCATCAGAGTCACTTCGACAGGCAGCACAGGCTCAGTGGCTCGGGGACACTTGCAGTGCCCTTGTGAACCCCTGTCCATCGGGGTGTTGGTGGCACCACTCCCTGGCCATGCCATGGGACTTACACTGAACGTGGCCGACGGGCAGAGTATGCCGGGATCGCATGTGCCACGTCTGCAAATAGCTCGAAAGCAAAATTCCCTGGAATTAGACTGACAGGGAAAACAGGGAGGCAGAGATATTTTCTGCTTCACACTTTACTGTGCTCTCTGAGAAGATGCCTCCAAGGGCCCGGCTGTGCATTCAGCACGGCTGAGAAATGTTGTTTGAACTGTTATTTTAAGCAGAGCGTCTGACAAAGCTGAAAACTCCCAAACTCTGTTGAAAATGACAGCTTAGAGGTCTGAGACTCCCTGGATCAGACAGAAATACCAAATGGATTTCAATTCGTCCTAGGTCAGGTCATTAAGATATTGGAGCTGGATTCAAAGGAGGAGGTTTGGAACGACATCCAGCCACATCCCTGCTCCATCCCCAGTGGGTTCTCAGAACTAAAGTGTGGCCCATCAGAGCAGCAAGGGCTGGTGACTGTCACCAGAGCTCTGCAAGGACGTCCTGGCTCCTTCTCTCCCTGCCAGCCAGCCATTTGCTCTCTGTTTTCCCAGACTCACTCCAAGCCCTCTAAGCCCTGGGGAAGAGGGAGCCCAGGAGAGAGAGCTCTGACAAAGCCATTCCCACTGCAGTGATGCCTGGGCAGAGAGAAACAGGACAGTGTGAGTGACACGGAGCATCAGCGTGGAAGGCCAGCAGTGCTGCAGAGCCAAGTGGGATTTTTCTGCTCCTTATTTTGGCTGGAAGTTCAGAGCATCTCAGCCCCGCCCCCCCCTCCTCCTCCTCCTCCTCCTCGCACACTGTGACAGTGGCTGCCAGCTGCTGGCAGCACACTCAGCCTTGCTGGCACTCACAGAAAGGGCTTCTACTCTCATTTCCTCTCGCCAGATCATCAGGACATCATTGAGGGAGCAAAGAACAAAGCGCTGACGCTGCCTGTAGGAACCACGGGGGTTTGGAAGCACCTTCCTGGCCCCAGAGCCCCAGCTGCTCCGAGATGCAGGTGGTGAAGGACAAGCTGCAGCTCCATGGACAAATCCATTCCAGGTGTTTCGCTGTGGGCAAGCAGTTCCAGCCAGCACATGCAGCATCCCTCGTCCTGCTGCAGCATCCCCACATCCCACCAGAGCATCCTTGCATCCTGTCATACCATCCCACTGCAGCATCCCTGCATACTGCCACAGCATCCCTGCAAACCACTGCAGCATCCCTGCATCCCACCACAGCATTCCAACATGCTACTGCAGCATCCTCACATCCTGCTGCAGCATCCCTACATCCCGCCAAAGCATCCCTGCATCCTGCTAACTTCTGGGCTCACGGGGTGGCTAAGGGGAGGTGCTGGGAAGGCTGGGGTGCCCAAGGCTGAAGCAAACAGCTGTTGTGTTCACTCAGGCACTGACAAATTCCCCCTGAATCCTCTGCAGCAATCCTGGCAGCGGTCTGGGATTTTATCCTATGGGAAGGCGGTGGTTCAAGGAACAGCTGCATGCTTAGTGCCACCCAGTTATGAGCCCTGTTGGCAGGATTAGCGTCACCCAGGCTGCTGCTGAGCCCTGTTTCCATGCTTGGTGTCACAGAGCTGGGACTTGTTTCCATGCTTGGTGTCACCCAGTTCATGAGCCCTGTTAAAGGCTCGGTGTCACCCAGCTGAGCGCAGTTTTCAGGCCCGGTCACCAGGATGAGCCTTGTTTCCATGCTCAGTTCCACCCAGGCTTCCACCAAAAACACCTGCTGCCTCCAGTACAGGGAAGCTGGCAGGCCCTCCTGCCTGGAACCAGCCCAGCAGCCCATGTCTCTTCCCAGTGGCTCCCAGTCATGCCATACTCCTTTAGACCCTACAGACCCTGGAAACCATCCCTGCATCTTCAATTGCTTGTGACTAAACTCCCCCAAGCAATTCAGCTCCACTGAGACCTCAGCAATGCTTCCCCCCACACTCATCTCTGTTCCCAGGGTAGTCCCCAGGAAAGGACTCATGCATCCCATCCCTAGAGCAGCGAGATGCCCTGGACAACTCCCCCAGCCCCCTGTTGGCCCTCACCCACCTCCACTTGCTGGCAGATCTGTATCAGCTTGGCCATCTGGTTTTCCAGTTCGCTGTTGCGTTTAACCAGGTTGGTGAGATTCGTCTCCAGGGTTTGCTGCAGGTCCAGAAATGGGAGAAAGAAGAAAAACACAGAGATCAGTAAACCTGGAGTGTCCCCAGTCCCCCGCCAGCAACCGAGACCCTCCACCACCCAGCACACTGCCTGAGGGAGCGGCACTGGAATAACTTTGGGAAAAGGCTCTGGGGTTCCTTGGCAGCTCCTGCCCTCTCTGCTGGGTTGGGCCATGGGGGAGGCATCGAGCCCAGCTCTGTGGTGTCACCAGCTGGTGGGGACAGTGTTAGGGTGTCTGCTCTTTGGAGAGAAGATTTTGGCTGTTTTCATCATCAGTTTTGTCCTGCACAGGGTGAGGGAGCCTGATGAGCCACAGGAGAGGGACATCTCGTCCGCCAACCACCTCAGCCAGAGCAGTGTGGGCACAGGCCAAGAGTGCCCTGCACTGTCCTCTCAGTCCCCAGCCACGCTGCCCTTTGCTTGCAGGGGCAGATCTCAGCCAGTGGATCCTGGCCAGTGGATCACAACCAGTGGATCTCAGCCAGTGGACCACAGTAAGCAGATCTTGGCCAGCAGATCTTGGCCAGCAGATCTTGGTCAGCTGATCCCCACCAGTGAATCTCATCCAGTGGATCTGGGTCAGCAGATTATGGGCAGTGGATCACAGCCAGCAGATCTCTGCCAGCAGATCACAACCCCAGCAGCACAGGGATCCCTGGGGCCTGCTTTGGTGCCCGCAGGCCACAATATTCCGGGAGCAGAAGGGGATCCAGTGGAGTGTGGAGAAAGAGTCCATTTGAGGGGGTATTCATATCCATGGCCACATGGGGGACGCACAGTTTGTGGGTGTCAATTCCAGGGACACGGCACTGCCAGTTCCACGTGCTCTGCTAACAGGAATTTTTCATAACAGAGCGCTCAGTACCTGTTGCAGCGCTTGCTGGGAAATGATATCCTATTAATATTTTAAACTCCAGGGCTGGAAGAAGATCCCTGAGGTGGTTCATTCATCCTTGGGTAGGAACTGCAGTCCAAGGCTTTGATCCAACTCCAGCAGACCCATAAACACGGCCCCCCCTCCGCACACATGGGTAATTGGGGGCTACAGAGCCAGGAGAACTTGAATCACAGGCACGGAGCACAGGCAGAGCACTCATTCCTGAAAAACCACTGGCTCCTAAAATACTCCGAGCTCGTTTGCAACCCTGCAAATTGCCAGCCAAGGGCGGGTGAGGCAGAACACAGGAACAGGCTGGAGAAATGGAATAAAACCCAGGAAACCTTCGTTATGCAGGAAGGATTCGCAGAGCAGGGCTGTATGGATAATGGAAAAACCAGCTGCTCCCACCCTCCCCTCCTCACAGCCCGGTATCATTTCACTACAGCACTGAACATTTCACTTGCTAATTACTCCCTCGTCACCACCTTGGCTGTGCTGAGGTCCCAGCTTTGAACTCACACCAACCTGCTTTAATGTTTCAGGGTGTGATAGAAGGGGGGGGGGAATGGGGGTACAGCTTTGAAGCATGCGAGCCCAAACCCCATTTGCAGCTTTCTGAGTTTTCTAGGGGATGGCATCACTCCTCCCCATCCATAAACACACACAAATCCTGCGCCTAAGCACCGATCCCTTCATCACACGTCCACTGTGGTGATGCTGAACCAGTCAGCAATGGTTGCATAGCCCTTTGCTGCTCCTCCAGCCCCTCACTGCTCCCTCCCCAGCCCTTCTCTGCACCCACAGACACTCACTGCCAACCCCTCTATATCCTAGAAAAACACAGGTGGAATGTTTCCATCTGTTTGATGTGCTGAAACAAATAAAATGGGCTTGAAGCCTGGATCACACCAGCTGGTTATTTTGTAGGTGTATATAAATTACAGCAATTACAGGGGTTGGGCTTTAATTGCTTTATAAAACACTCATCATTTCCCCAAGCTTCCACCTTCTGGCCTGAAATAGGTGATTTCTCTACAACTGGGGAGAGAAGTGAGAAAAACTGACAAAAAGGGAACACCATCATGCCCTTGAGCAGGAGTCACTGGTACTCCATGAGGGCAAGGGGCTAAGTCACCCAGGGATGGTGGGACCAGAGAGGGGATTGCCCGGACACAGGCACTGTGGGACAGAGGCTGAACCTCCCCCATCCTGAGTGTCAGGGATCCATGGGATCAAACCCTCCTGGAGCTCCAACAGAGCAGCTCAGCACCTGCACTCCTTTACCTGTTGGTGACTAGATGCACAGTGAATCCATTCACACCCAGCCAGAGGGGAGGAATCACACAGTACACACCTGGTGAGCACCGATGCTCATATTTGTTCAGTAACGGGCACGATAGGCAACAACTCCATTTTCCTTTTTCTCCAAATACCAAACAAGCAGTTGGACTAAACATGGATTTCTCCGTTTGAAGAAGGCCTTAAGGTTGGGGGCTCAAGACAGCTTCAAGAACTATAAATGCATGGTGTTCTCCTGGTCCCTGTGCATCAGCAAACATGATCTTGCCTGCACCTGGCCAGAGCTGCACTCCATGGCTGGTCACCAGCCCATCCACCAGTCTGGAAGCTGATCAGCACTGGGAAACACTATCAGCCTTGTGGCTTTAACCATCTGGGAGACAGAGCAGAGTAGGCTCTGTCTTCCAAGAAGGGGGGAAGGGGACAGGGTCCCTACATGTCACACAGACCCATTGTGTGAGGGTAGCTGAGTCCCCAGGAGTTCAGGCCACGCAAGTCTCAGGTCTCCTCCAGCAGCAGGAATCCCTGGGTGCAGGATGGGGGGACCTGGAGCGACCTGGAGCTAGGGGAGCCCTAGTGATGGGAGCAGAGAGGCTGTGGGTGGCTGCTGGTCAATGCTGCTGTCCCTCAGCACTGATCTGAGAGGGGAAGGGCTCAGCCTCACATGGCAGCACGGACGATTTGCTTTGGCTACACCTTATCACAGACAGATTTCCACATGTATCTTCATGGAAAGACAGCCAAAACTGGAGAGTATTACTTCCAGGATTTTTCTCATTGCTCCTGTTCATCTATAATCACTTCCAGTAATGGAGACAGATTTTTGCCCCAATCCCCCTGCACACCATTAAACACAAATCAGGTGTGCATTCACAAACCCATGTGCAGGCACACTTGCTCCAAGTCAAACCCTCTCCAGAATGCTCACCACGTGCCAAAGTGGCAGGAAAACTGGTCCGTGGATGCCACCACCATTCACCAGCCTCACCTGGATGGGGCAGGGGACAAGCACCTGCAGCGGCAGGCTGGGATTGCTGCCAGGCTGAGGATGCACAGTTAAGCCCTTCAGGCTGAGGATGTGCTGCCAGGTCCTGGCACGGGGCAGGATTGCTGCTGGGTGTCCTCTGACCCATTTGGAACAGCACAGGGAAGCCAAATGTCACCAGGACATTGCCCAAGGCATCTGGACTCTGCCACAGGGATCCTGAGGGAGCTGCTCGCATTTCAAAACCACAAAGTTGTTGGTTGCATCCTGCAGCTGCAGTGACACTGGAGCCCTGGGAACCTCTCAACCCATGCCCCTGTTCCTGGCCAAAATGCTGCTTTGCACTGTGCTCCTGCCCCAGGCACTTGATAGCTCTGTGAGGATGAGGGCACTGATGTGGTTCATTTCAGGAATGCTGGGGTGGCTTTCCTGGGAAGCAGCAGCTGGACAGGGTGAGATGCAGGTAGCTCCCACCAGGGTCAGTCCAGCCCCATCTGCTCTGAGGGGATTTTGGAGCAGGACAGTGATGGTGGGGTTTGTACAGCATCGTCCCACTCCACTGACAGCTGCCTCCACGCTAACAAACCACAGAATCACAGAATGGTTTGGGTTGGAAGGGACTTCAAGCTCATCTCATCCAACCCCTGCCACAGACAGGGACGCCTTCCAATAGACCGGGTTGCTCCAAGCCCCATCCAACCTGGCCTGGAACACTTCCAGGAAAATCCTGGGCAGCACTGCACAGACCAGGCTCCTCTCCATGGTGGCACTGCACAGACCAGGCTCCTCTCCATGGTGGCACTACACAGATGAGGCTCCTCTCAGTGGCCACAGCAGGTCCAGAGCCTGGCACTACTCCAGCACCACTGGATGATCCCACTCCCACATCCCCCTCCCACAGGCTGGACAGAGGGCTGAGCGTGGCACTACCCACCTCCAACCCTGGCAGGGGCACATCCCTCTGAGGCGATTCCAACTGAAAGGGGGGAAATTTAGGTTAGATTAGAAATTCAGGTTAATACGGAAGAAATTCTTGGCTGGGAGGGTGGGGAGGCCCTGGAACAGGTTGCCTGGAGAAGCTGTGGCTGCCCCATCCCTGGAAGGGCTCAAGGTCAGGCTGGGCAGGGCCTGGAACAACCCTAGTCCAGTAGAAAGTGTCCCTGCCCATGGCAGGGCGTTGGAACAACATGAGCTTTAAGGTCCCTTCCAACCCAAACCATTCTGTGATTCCACAATTCTATGTTTAGAATCAATTCCCAGCACCAATAAAAAAAATCTAGGGGAAAAATATGCAAAACCAGTCAGCTGCTAGGCTTTGCTAAGGAGAATGTCCCCAGACAATGGGACAAGTGACAGAGAGACAGGACTGAGCTGCCATGTGTGACAGTAATGCATTTTAAGTCGCTTTGGAGCAAAACAGGCTGAGTAAGAGCTAAAATCTCTGCCAGTGTTCGGGGCTGCTATCACCCCACTGGCAGAGCTGACCTAGAAACTGAGCAGCTCACAGTGGCACAGGACTAGTGGTGACTGATGGTGCTGAAGAGTCCAGAGCCAGAGCCTTAGCCAGGTAAAGGAGTGCTGGCAGTGACCCCCTGGCATGGAGGGGATGAGAGGCCATGGGATGCATTTGACCAACACACAAGGACGTACCTGAGGGTGCAGCAACATCCCCCCGTGCCTCCCACTCAGTCAGAGTGAGTGAGAGCTGCTCCAAATCCATTCATCATTAGGTTTAATCCCTGATGACGTGTCAAGTTTAAAGCCTGACTGGCTCTTTCTATGCTCACCTTCGCTTGGGAAACAAGTCTGGAGGGAAGT